TCTTCTTCTTTTCTCTTTCTTTCTTCTTCAAGTCGTCGTTCTTCTTCTTGTCTCTTTCTTTCTTCCTCCTCTCTTTTTCTTCTCTCTTCCTCTTCTTTTCTTCTTCGTTCTTCTTCTTCAACCATTTTCTTTAACTCTTCTTCTCTTCTCTTCTTTTCTTCTTCAATTCTTCGTTGGACTTCTCTGTCTTCATCATCCATATCATCCAAAAAGAATGCAATGGGAATAGGACTAGGATTCAAATGTCCATTTTCATCAAATAATGGACTATTTCCTTGAGCCATTTCAAACCTTGGTGTATGTAGTCTATCTTTATTAGACTCTTCCATTTCTTTTTTCATAGCTAATTCCATAACTTTTTGTCGTTGTTTAGACTTACCATAAATACTCTTTTCTGAACTTTGATCACTCAATTTTCTCAAACTTAATAAGTCAACTTTTTCATCCAAGATAGGACTTGTCGTACATTTAACTTGTCGACTAAATCCATCTTTTCTTGTTGAGTCAAATTTATCAATAAAAGCATTTCTTTGAATAGCCCATTTTTTAAACATTTCACTAACTTCTTTAACATTGTCCCATTTAACTAATAAACTTGCATTTTCACTAGCATTATTCTCAATGACTCCTTTTAGTTCAACAGGCTCTTCTTTAATATAGTCAGTTATATCAACAATATCATAAATTCTTTTATAAATTTCTTTTCTTTCTTTTCTCCATTTTTCTCTTTTTTGTTTAAACTCTTCAACAATTCTTAGCTCTTCTTCTTTTAACTTCTTTTCAATCTCAACTTTTGCCTCACTTAATTCAACTATTTTCTTTTTTCTGTCAAGTTCTTCTTGCTTTTTCATATTTTCTCTTTTTTTAACTTTCTCAACTTCTTGTTTTCTTAATTCAAGAACAGGGTCAAATCGTTTAACATGTTGGAGATGGTTATCTGCTAATTCTCGTTCTATTTCTTCTTGATTAACTAATTTTGGAAGAACTGTTTTTTCTGTAAGAGGTGGTGTTGGCTCTTTTTCAACACTTTCTACAAATTTAGCAATATCTTCTCTCTTTCTTCTACGTTCTTCTTCATATTTTTTATGAATATCATCGCAAATCTCTTTATCTCTTTGACTTAATACTTCAATAGGTTTGTTACCAATACCTTCTTTTGTTTGTAGTGCAACTTTACTTTTTCCTTTTGCCTCTCCTAGTTTCTTTCTTCTTGAATTGATTTCTTTCAGTTTATTGTCAATATCAATATCTTTACTTTTTAATTTAATTTCTTCATCATTTTGTTGTTGTCTAATGTCTAAGTATTGTTCAGATATACGATCCAATTTTGATTCTTGCATTCTTTTTTCATGTTTTTTACTATCAACTTCAATTTCAATTGCATCTTTTTCTTTTCTTAATTGTTTGCTTTTTTCTCTAGCTTTTTTTCTATCTTTATTAAGATTTCTTTTACTTCTTTCTTCAGCTTTCTTTTCTCTTGATAAGTCTCGAGTTATTTTACTTTCCATTTGCTGTAATAAAATTTTGGACCTTTCTACAAATTGATCTAATTCTTCACTTGCAGCTTGTTGTTCCAGTTCAGCATCAGCATTAGCCATTTCTAATTTTCCAAGTTCATAATTAGCATCATCTATTTTATCTAATTTAGTATCTAATTGTTTTTCATTATGTTCTCTTTCTTGAATAATTGAATGAGTATCCATTTTAACAATTTTTGTTTGTGTTTGAATGTCAGATATTTGTTTTTGAATACGGGCTTGTTCTCTTTTATTATCTTTAATTCTTTTGTTTTCTTGAAGAATACTTTTTTCAACATTAAGAATCTCTTGTGAGACGTCATCAATTAAACTATTAACTCTTTTTGTTTGTCGTTCTTTTTGTTGGAGTAAATCGGTTAATTCAGCTTTCTTTTGTTCCATATCATGAACTTCTCCACTTAATTTATAATTTTCATCAACTTTACTTGTATATTTTTCACTTAATTCTTCATAATGAAGGTTTTGAATTCGTTCTTCCATCCTTTTTTCTTTTTTAATCATTTCTTGTTTCTTTCTATCAGCTTCTTTAAATTCTTTTTGAAATTCCTTTTCATTTCTAATATTATCACTTTGTAACCTTAACATCTCAAATCTTGTTGTTTGTTTTCTTTTATAAGCTTCATCAATGTCTTGTCTAATCCGTTCACTTTCATCATTTAATTTTTCTTTCTCTTCTACTAATTGTGTATTATTAAGATGTTCTACTGCTGTTATTCCAGCACTTTCTTCTTGTGCCTGTTTTAACTTTTCAAGCATTTTCCTTTCTTCTTCTGCATGCTTTTCTTCAAGTTGTTTCATTTGTTGTTCATCAACAATTTTTTGTCTTTCTTTTTCTTCTAATAAACTATTATATTCTTTATCTTCTTTTTCTTTAGCTTCTTTAATTTTTTTTTGCTGTTGTTCTAATTCTTGTTGTTTTTTTCTTTCTTCTTCTTCTTTTGCACGTTTTTCTGCTTCAACTTTATTTATTTTATCTTGTTCCTCTCTTCGTTTTCTTTCAATCTCATCTTGTTCTTTTTTCCATTTCATTAACGCTGCAAGAAATGCAAAGTTCATTTTAACAACACAATTTTGTACACTTTCAACTGATATTAATTGACATCCTATTGTACCTGATGCAGTTATAACATCTTCTAATGAATTTCCACATGGAATTCCAAGAGTACGTAGTAAGTCTCGAAAAATTATTCCATCTTGGAGGTCTGATGTATAGTTTGTCATTCTTTTACTTCCTAATGTTGTGTTTACCCATTTCATTACATCTCCTTCACAATCCATTGATCCTAGTGTTTTTCTTAAATCATAGTCAATTAATTGCCATAATAAACCAAGTACTTGTGATGCAGTAGCTGCTTGTGGTTGAGTTATAGCACTTGCAGAACAAGTAACTTCAAGTCCAAATGACTTTGCCATACGAATCAATTTTTCTGCATTTTCATTCATTTGAAACAAGTTAATAGGATTCGTGTGTGGGGGGATAAAATTTTGGAAACTTTGCATATAAGTTATTAATATGATTGTTGACTTTAAACCTTCTTGTAATCCTTTTAATGTCTTTTCAATAGAAATTCCTAAATTCGTTTTTGTTTGAATAAATGCATTTAAATAACTAACAATCCCTTGCACAGCTGTACTTTCATATCTTTCAGTTTCATTCATTTCCTTCCTTCAAAAAATAAATTGTATTTCAGTTCATTTCCTTTTTTCTATTTCCTTTTATTTTCCTTCTTTTCTCTTTTCGTATTTTCCTTTTTAATTTCTTTCTTTTTTGGAAAAGTAATTTTGTTATTATAAAATTTTTGACATTATTATCGTTATATATAACTTTATTTTATTTTAGGATGTTAGTTACTTGAAATAGAAGATGAAACATCATTAAATTAAGAGTGGTGTTTAATAATAATTCTAAATTAACATACACAAATAATTAAAAATAATTTAAAATGAAAAACAAGTTTTAGTTCTATTATTTATGGTTGTTAGAATGGATTTTATACGATAAAATACAATAATAGTCTATATTTATTTTACTTTGTTAAATAATCTTTTAAATTTAAGCAACAATTAAGAACGAGTTAAAAATACCATTCATAATAAGATTCTTTTTAATTCTTTTCCATCTAATAATTATCTTTTGTAACAATGCTGTTAGTATTAGTAGTTATACTCATTGTAACTTCATGGGGTTGTGCTATTGGGAAATACTCTTATTTTTATCTATGTTGGGACTGTTTGGATGAAAGTTTTTGTCCTGGAGATGATAGTTTTTATCAATGTAATTGCTATTCTTGCAACAAAATAAATGGAGTGTGTAGTTCAAGATGTTTTGATGGCTATGTCAAAGATGAAATTGGTAGGTGTCAAAAATGTGCACCAGGTTATTATAAAAGCTCACAACTGGAATGTAGTGAATGTGAAAGTGGATATTATTGTCCTGGAGATGGATTTCAGTACAAAGCTAATTGTGATGATTTCAACAAACAAACTGGTGTTTGTACTTCAAAATGTTCTTCAAATTATGTCAAGTCTACTGATGGTAAATGTCAAGAATGTTCTAATTCTTATTATATGAACCAAGGAAATTGTTTGTCTTGTAACTGTAATTCATGTAATTCAACTACAGGTGCTTGTTATTCTAAATGCAATGGTCGAGCGTTCACCACAACTAATGGTCTTTGTTCTTATTGTTCATCTGGAAGTTATAAAAATAGTTTTGATTCCTCTTGTTTTCGTTGTACAAAAAGTTCATATTGTCCTGGCAATGATATTAAATATTCTTGTAATTGTAAGAATTGTGACCGAAAAACTGGAGAGTGTACGAGTAATTGTTATTCAGGGTATGAAAAAGAGAGTTCAACTGGAAGGTGTATTCCTTGTCAAGAAGGATATTATTCATTAGATGAAGGAAGTCAATGTACAAAGTGTGGGTGTAGTGTTTGTGATAAAAAAGAGGGGTGTTATATTGGTTGTGATCCAGGATATAGTTATGATTCAAATAAAAAACAGTGTACGATATGTTCTGCAGGTTCTTACTCTATTGGAGGAAAAGGTTCATGCCTGTCATGTGAAGGAAATAGTATTTCTTCTGTAGAAGGTTCATCTTCATGTAAAGCTTGTCCAATGAATCAAGTTGCTAATCTTCAGAAAACAGTTTGTGAATATTGCGTTGAAGGAAAATACTTTAGTAATGGGATGTGTTTGTCTTGTCCTGATGGAAAAATTAAAGTAGATAGAACAACAAGTAATTGTAACTCATGTAAGTCAAATGAAATTTCAAATTCTGATCATACTCAGTGTCTTGAGTGTGAAGCTGGAAAATATAAGAATGGAAATAGTTGTATGCATTGTGGTTCAAACACATATTCATTAAAAGGAGCAGTTTCATGTCTTAAGTGTGATAGTTCATGTTTATCTTGTGACTCAACTACTGGGCATTGTTTAACTTGTAATAAAGGGTCGTATTTAAATACAGAAACACATAAATGTGAGCCATGTCCAGCTGGAACTTATTCAAATACAATAACTGCAACTTCTTGTCAGAAATGTTTAGAACAAGAGTGGTCTACTTCTGGGTCTGTTACATGTTTGCAATGTCAGGCAAATTGCCAGGAATGTGATAACACAAATGGTAAATGTCAGAATTGTCCAACGGGGTATGGTTATGACCAACAAAAAGGGACTTGTACAATGTGTGAGGTTGGGACGTATTCTACGGGAAGTACTAGTTTATGTAATCCATGTGGCGTTGGTTCATTTCAACCACAAATGGGTCAGTCAAAGTGTGAATTATGTAGTGATGGCTTTTATCAAAACTTAGAAAAAAGTTCAAGTTGTAAGCCATGTTCTTCTTCTTGTAGTACTTGTTCTAAAAGTACTGGAGAGTGCCTGAGTTGTAAAGAAGGTTATGGACTAAGTAATGGAGTATGTAGTGAATGTCTACCAGGAACACATAACCCAATTAAAAATACAGGTTCATGTGTTAGTTGTGAAGCAGGCACTTATTCTAATTTACCTCACCAACAAAGCTGTACTGAATGTTCAAATCTTTATTGGTCAAGTTCTAATTCTCTTTCTTGCACAGCGTGTGATGAAGGATGCAGTTCATGTGATAAAAAGAATGGAAAATGTTTAACTTGTAAACCTGGATATGGAATTAATCAAAAGGATGGAACTTGTACTGCTTGTGCATATGGGAGCTATTCAAAAGGAGAAACTTCAGTATGTGAAATATGTAAAGATGGAACATATGCAAATCAAATAAAACAAAAATCTTGCCAAAATTGTTCTTCCACTTGCAGTGAGTGTAATAAGTCATCAGGAAATTGTATTCATTGTAAAGCAGGATATCAATTAGAAGATGGAAGAATTTGCAAAACTTGCCAAGAAATGACCTATTCACCTCTCAATCACGATAAATGTATTCCGTGTAATAGTTCTTGTAAACGATGTTCAAGTGTAACAGGAGAATGTACAAGTTGTCCAAATGGTGAAAAGACAGTATCAGGGAAATGTGAAAATTGTTCAACAAATGGAAATTGTGTTTTATGTTCATCTGAAGCTACTGAAGAAAATAAACAATGCATCGAATGTTCAGCTGGACATTATTTAAAGTCAAACAATTGTAATAGTTGTAGTGAATTAGATTCAAATTGTATATCTTGTAACCCATCAGCAGAAGAGTGTATAAGTTGTTCAGGAAATAATATATTAAATGAGGAAAGAACAAAATGTGTTCCATGCAAAGAAGGAGAAGTTAAAATTAGTGAAATACAGTGTGTTCCATGTTCTTCTAAAATAGAAGGATGCTCTTCATGTATTTTTAGTTCTATTTCAGATATTAAATGTGAGTCGTGTTATGCTCCATATGAGTTATCGAATGATCAAACAACTTGTGTTAATTGTCTTAATCAAAATATGTCATATTATGACCAAGATACAAAGAAGTGTGTCAAAAACAGTCAAGGATGTTTAAATCAGATAGGAAAGACAAAGTGCATTAGTTGTAGTTCAGACACCTATTATTTGAGAAATGGAGTTTGTTCAATATTTGATTCACGATGTACACAAAAAAGTTCAAAAGGGTGTGAAGAGTGTTCAAATCCAATTATTCCAAATAATAGCCAATGTAGTATTAATATTGAACAATGCAAATATGGGATGAGTTCAACACAAGATATTTGTTATGTCTGTGAATTAAATTATCAAAATAATAATGGAATTTGTGAGTCAACTACAGAGAAATGTCAGTATTATCAAAATGAATATTGTTTACTTTGTAATGAGGGAAGATCAAATGGGAAACAATGTATTTCTTGTAAAAAAGGAGTAGATGTGTGTACATATTATCATAATAAAGAAATACCAATAAGGTGTTCAGATGGTTATTTTCTTGACTCAAATAATGAATGTATTGAGAAAACAACAACAACTTGTCAAAGTATTAATAATAGTTATTGTGTTCAATGTGAACCGCATCAATATGTTAATCATGGAAATTGTAAAAATAATAATGAAGTATGTGAGATAGAAGATAAGATTGGTTGTTTAAAATGTAATGATGGAGTTTCAATAAATGGAGAGTGTCAAAGTATAAGCACTTTAAATTGTAATAAAGTCAATAAAAATCAATGTTCTGAATGTAAAGAAGGTAATTATAGAAACATTAATACTTGTTCACCAATTGATACATTGTCTAGTGAATTAAAACAATGTAAAGCATATAATGTAATAACAGAAAAATGTTTAGAATGCTCTGATGAATATTTATTATATCATAATACTAAATGTGAAGTAAAGCAAGAATTACGCCAAAATAAAATGAAAAAAGAAGAAGGTATTGATACATGTTTTGAACGAACAAGTAAAGGATGTTTAAGGTGCAGGTCAGGATATTATCTTGAAGATGGAGAGTGCAGGGAATGTCAAGGAGATTGTTGGGAATGCTCAAGTAAGGATTATTGTACAGGGTGTGATCCATATTCTTATCCTAGTAATGGAAAGTGTATAAAAATGAATGATTTAGTTCAACGATGTAACCAAATGATGTCAACATACACTGGTTGCGTCAATTGTAAAGAAGGATATTATAAAGCAGAAGATGGAAAAAATTGTAATGAGTGTGATAAATCCTGTTTATCTTGTATGAAAAATAACACTTGTATACAATGTGCTGAAGATTATTTTAGATATGGGTTTGAAGTATCAACACTTTGCTTTCCTCAAAGTCAAATTAATAATTGTTTGAATAAAACAAAACATGGTTGTGAAAATTGTGAAGAGGGATATTACAGAACAAGTACGTATCAGTGTAAAGAATGTGGATTCAATTGCACAAGTTGTTCAAGCAAAAATAAGTGTTTGCAGTGTATAACAGAACATGTATTAGGCACAAATGGTAGTTGTTTCCATTATTCAGATATACCAAATTGTATTAATTCATTAAATTCAAAATGTTCAGAATGTTCTAAAGGATATATATTGGATGATGAGGAAACAGGATGTATTGAGAAAAAGAAAAATATTGGAATGACTATTGGTATTACAATTGGAGCATTTATAATTGTTTTAATTATTGTTATTATCATTACTGTAATTATTACTATATTCTATATTCAACATAAAAAAGAAAAGAAGAAGATGGATAATATTTGTGTCTTTGA